TCAAGCTCTTCCAGAGGCCTTTTGTGGCAGATCAGTATACTGAATGTTTTATGTGGAGAACAGCAGGAGGAGGTTCTAGAAATGGGCCTGAAATTTTTGATCCTAAAATATTAGAATAATTTTAAATCATATTCAAGAACTCCAGTTTATGGATGAAAGGATTTAAAGGAAGGTAGAGAAATTAGAGCAACAGTCAGAAGGAAGCCAAAGAACTTGCCAAGAAAGTGGAAGAGCATCACAAAAGCAATTAGGTTGCCATCCAACATCTCCAAGAACTAGAGGAGCACATTAGCTATGTAGCAACTAAAGGGTGTTGCCTTGGAGACCAGCAGGAAGAGGCAGACACACCTAGACAGTAGGCAGTGGAGGCTTAGAAACTGAGGAACTACTTTAAGGAATTTCTGGATGGAGAACTGAAATCTGAAGTTTTTATACATCCCGAAAAGACAAAGGAAGCAGGAGACATCATTGAGAATTTGCACCTAACTGCCCATGATTTACCTTTTGACAGATTTTCAGAAGCAAAACTCAAAATTGCAAATAAATATCATGATTTAGAATGCTGATTCAGGAGTTTACTAGTTAAAGGTGAAATCTCTAGAATAAGCAGAGCTACTTCATTTTAAGGGTTATTCCTAGAGTGCTGATGTTTATACAAAGCACAGCCTGGAGGGTGTTTACCTGAGAAATTATATATTTGGCATCTATATATCTATATATCTATATATCTCCTATATATCATATATATAGGTGGTGGGGTTTTTTTTTTGTTGTTGTTACCAGGAATTAAACTCAGGACCTTGGACTTGCCAGGCAGGTGTTTATGCTGCTGAGCTATATCCCTGGCCCCAGAAATGATAAATGTGAAGATGCAGCAAAACTATGTCAAGGGATGAACGAGTAAGTTGGAGAGATATTTAGTAATTGAGAAATAGCACTGTTTATATTTATTCAAAATGTATTTGAAATCAAACCAGAGTTTTGAGACAGACAAATTGGAAGAATGTAGGAAATCAGATGCAGAACAGTATCTCAAAATTTTGGATGTAAAAGAACCACCAAGCTTTCCATCAAGTTCATGGAGTTTAATTTAGGTACTGATAAAGAGACTTTCTTTTCTTAGCTTATTGATCCATTTTCATTTCCTATTTGGAGAACTGAAGGGCCGGGGAGATGGCTTAGTGGAATAAGCGCTTCCCTGGCAAGCGCAAGGGCCTGAGTTCAATCCCTGGTTCCGGAAAAAAGAAAAAAGAAAAAAAAAAGCAGTGGAGAACTGTATTGTGGTAGAGACTGGCTATTTGAAAAGCAGATGGGCTATGATCCTGCAACACTATTATGATTCAAAAAAACCATCAAGAGTTTCACTGGCACAGGAAGTATACAAGATCTGCAAGGGAGAATTACTGTACCCACTTATCACTGGGGCAAGAATTGACACTCACAGGGAAACTCTATTCCAAGAAATGGGAGTTAAGTTTTTATAAGAAACCAAACAAGCCTTTCAAAGTGTCATAGGCTCTCTGATTCTTCTGATTTACTAAGGAATGCCTTTAGTTTACCATTCTCGTGGATTTGTAGGCACTGAACATATTATGCTTTGGAAACAGGTCTTCCTAGCATCCCTTCCTCAGATTCTAGGAAAGTAAATCTTTTATTTTTTGCCTATTTTTTTTTAATCTTTTGTATCTATTTTCTTATTTATTTGGTACAGGGTCTCACTGCATAGCTCAGACTTGTAGTGATTCTCCTGTCTCAACCTCCCCAGCGCTGGGATTACAGGTGTGCACCACCATGCCTCCATTAGCTACAGCAATTAGGCAAGAGATAAAGAAATAGGCTGGTGTGGTAGCACATGCTTGTAGTCTCAGCATTCAGGAAGCTGATGCTGCGAGTTTGAGCCCAGCCTGCGGTACATAGGCAAGTTCAAAGCCAGACTGGATTACACAGTGAGACTCTGTCTCAAAACAAAAACCAAAACCTGGGGATACAGAAATAAAAGGGACAAGTATAGAAAAGGAAGAAGTCTAATTACCATTATTGGTAGATGACATTTTCGTGTACACAGAAGATCCAAAAATTCAACCAAAAGACTGTTAGACAAACAGTAGCAAGGCAGAATGCAATATCAACACAAAAAACAAGTAGACTTCCTGTACACCCATAATGAATTTGCTGAAAAAGAAATCAGGTAAACAAAACCATTCACAATAGTATCAAGAAAAATTAAATTCTTAGAATTAACCTAAACAAGGAAACAAAAGACTTCTACAATGAAAACTACAGCATTATGAAGAAGGAGATTGAAGAGGTCTTCAGAAAATAGATACCCTGTTGTTAATGTTTTGAGTCTAGATATCTTCCCAAAGCCTCATATGGTCATAGGTCCTTTTTCAGAGGTGGCTGAATCTCGAGCATGTGATGCTGGGATTGCGGGTGTATGATTAGTAATCCACTGACTGGACTGGTATATCCTGGCTAGGATTAAGGGTGTGGGTGCTACACCCACCATCTTAGGGCAGGTTGCCTGCATAAAATATAAGGGATGCAAAGTCTTATCTCTTCCTCCTGTTGCTTTTTCTGTCTTCTGCCACCATAAACTGTTGCCCCTCTGCTATGTACCATCCTGTCTTGGACTCAGTCTATAAATGGGTGGAAATCTCTACAAACTATAAGCTAATAAACTTTTTCTCCTTTAACTTTGGGTGTCCAGCATTGTATCTCAGCAACATAAAAAGTACTTAAGACACCTCTGTTCCTGGGTAGGCAGAATGAGTATTGTTTAAATGACCACACTACCTAAACTGATTCACAGATTTAATGCAATTCCAGTCAAAATACTAACAGCATGCAGCAGCCAGGGTTTGATTCCCAGCCTGCCATGCCGGCCCTGACTCCGGGTCATGCTGAGAGGGGGTTGAGACTGTGCTTGGTGTCGTGTGCCTATAATCCCAGCACTTGGAAGGCTGAAAACAGGAGAATCACTACAAGTTCGATCTACATAGTGAGACCTTGTAGACTCTGTACTAAAAAAACCCCAAAAAACAAAAAACCCCAAAACTAATAGCATCCCTCACAGAACTAGAAAAAAAAACTGTCCTAAAATTCATACAGAACCAGAAGAGATATAGAATAGCAAAGTAATCTTGGGCAATAAGAACAGGGAAAGAGGCATCACAATTTGGACTTCAAGTTATATTACAAAGCTACAGTGATAAAAATAGAATGGTACTGGCACAAAAAACCAGAAATGTGGATCAAAAGAACAGGATAGAATATAAAGAAACAACCCCAGGCACATTATGTCATTTGATTTCTAATGAAGGGGCCAAAAGTACAGATTTAAAGAAAGACAGTTTCTTTTAAAAATGGTGCAGAGAAAACTGGTTACATGCATGCAGAAAATTGAATCTAGATCAGTATATAATATCATATACTGGAATAAAACCAAAACGGATGAGACACACAAATATTAAAATAGAAACAAGGGCTGGTCAGATAGCTCAATGGACTAAGCACTTGCTTTGGCAAGTGCGGGGGACAGGGTTTGATCACCAGTCTTACGTGCTGGCTGACCCCACCCCTGAGGTGTGCTGAGCCTGCATTGGGGTGTGGTGGCACATGCCTATAATCCCAGCGCTGGCTCTAGGGAGGCTGAAAATAGGAGGATCACTACAAGTCCGATCTGTGTAGTGAGACCCTGTACTAAAATACTAAAATACATTCAAATAACCTAGAAAGTAGAAAGCTGGGAACACAGTTCAGGTCAAAGGCTCTAGGTTCAATCTCTATACATTAAAAAAGAATTATGGATCACTATTCCTCACAAATGCAAAACTCTTTAGCAAAATGGCCAATCAATTCTAGGTATATAAAAAAAGATGGGGGTGGGGTGGGGAGATAGCTCAGTGGAATAAGTGCTTGCCTGGCAAGTGCAAGGTCCTGAGTTAGAGCCCTGGTATAAATAAATAAATAAATAAATAAATAAATAAATAAATGCATGCACCAAGACCAGGTGAGGTTTGTCCTGAGGATGCAAGACTAGGGCAATATTCAAAAATCAAATAATAACTTCTGCCATAGTAATAGTCTAAAGAATAATAGTAACAATAATAAAATCCTATATAATCAGGTCAACAGATACAAGAAAAAGAATGACAAAAGTCAGCATTCATTCATGATAAAATTTTTCACCAAACTAGGAATAAAAAGGAACATTCTTCAAGATGACAAAATAGACCTTTAAAAAGTCTACAGCTATTATCATCTCTAATGATGGGAAGGCTTTACTCTTAAAGACCAGTAACAAAGCAAGCAGTTCATTCTAGCCCCTCCCAACCAAAGCAGTATTGAAAGGCTGAGGTAATGCAATGAAATAACAACAAACAGGGGCCAGGGAGACAGTTCAGTAGAATAAGCGCGTGCCTGGCAATTGCAAGGGCCTGAGTTCAAATCCCTGGTTCCGCCAAAAAAAAAAAAAAAAAAAAAAAAAAAAAAAAAAAAAAAAAAAGTAAATAAAAGGCAGAGAGACTGGAAAAGAAACAAAACTGTCTCTTCTACATAGAAGTTTACCCTGCTCCTATATCCCAGTGATGGTATATTTTAGAGCTTTCAAGATACTAATAACCTACTGTGGCATGCATGATATAGTTCACTACCACTGCTACATACTATGCATGTGCAAGTGAAAACGTAATAATTTGTATAGAATACATTTCAGTAAACTAGCTTTAGATCGGACAGATTCTAACTCTAACATACACCTAGTTAGAAGGTAGGCATTAGAAGGTAATCCACAAACTAGGTAATTGTTTCCAGGTAATCCATAAAGTAGAAAACTGACAACTATCTAGTAATCGATAACTGTCAATCACCTACCTTATAAATTAGCTAGCAAAAGTTGCTGTCTCCTTACACAAATGTAGTTATAATACCATAAGGGACTCTTCCTTCTTGGAAACAGGCTAACAGTGATTTGGACAGAGGGCAGGTCTTTTACTTACTGCTTTGGTCTTTCCCTAGAACATCCGGCTCCTCTTCTTCCTCAGGAAGCTGAGCACTTTGTAGAAGAGCACGGATTTCTGGATGCAGGTCATCCACACTTGCTTCCCCCGAGGCCAAGGCTCGGCAGTGCAACACCAAGGCAACATCTCGGTTATAGAAATGAAAATACCGGCATATTCTACTTGCCTCATGTACATGGCCATCATCCAGAAGGCGCCCAATCAGAAAGCTCAGTGATTCCTGCTCCTTCCAATCCAGTCTATTCTCACATGTCTCTATGGATGGAAGGCCAGTAAGTTCCAAGTATTTAGATGTGTTCAGAGCAGCCAATTTGGAGAAAGAAAACTCCCTGGCTAAGCTATCAAAAGAAAGTTCACCACTAGTTGAAATTTGTTGAGAAAATCTTGGCTCTGCATCCTGCTGCTGCCCTTGGAGGGTATGCTGGGTGATGCGGCAGACCCAGATCTGCTCCTCCAGTTCCTCTAGCTTGTCCAAGGGCACTGGGTCCTCCTGTGCAAGCCAGTGCCCAGCCAGGGTGAGCAGCAGATGGCGCTCTTCAGTACTGCCTCTTCCAACTGGGTGTTCATAGGCCACATGGGCCTGGGAGGAGAAAAAGGAAGAAGCTGCTTTATTTGAAATGGAATTCTTCTTGAAGTTCTCATGGCATTTTTTCCAGAAATCAATTCTTGCTTGTTCCAAGGACCACTGTTTCATGTGCTTTAGTACCTGCATTTCCTGTGTTATCTGTGAAATTGTAACAAGCACGTTTTAGCCTTATTTTTTATTTTTATTTTTTTAATTTTAGCCTTTTTAGATAATAAAGTATCATAAATGTTAATGTTCCCTACAAAAGGTTTATTTTTTGGCTGGCTCAGGATGACTTAAGGGCAGGTCTGGTAAGGCCTGAGGAGTTGGGGATTGAACCACAGTATCCTGAGCCTGACTTCCTTTGCTTAAGCAGGCATTTAAACAACTGAGCTAATGGGCAGGCCCCCAATGCTCCCTAAATACGTACATCATAACTCCTAAAATCAAATTATATCAAAGAACATAGGACCTATGAAGTTCAAGAGGAAACCACTATATATTTAATTCTACTCAAAGGAAAATAATTATAGCATATCCTGCAGGCTACACTTATATTCTTCAATAATGACCATCTTAGGCTCATCCATTTCTAGAAATATGTGTGCCAAGTATAGAAAGGAGTAGTGGTGCACACCTGTATCCCAAGTACTTGAGAGGCTAAGGCAGCAGGATGGCAAGTTCAAGGCCAGCCTGGGTAACTCTGAGGTACCTGTCTCCAAATGAAATTTAAAGGTGGTGGGGATAACCTATTATGTATGGGGCCCTAGATTCAATCCCCAGGACTATAAGAAAAGAACAGAAAAAGTTAAAAAGGTAAGGCTTTGAATAACTTAAAAAAGATTAATGATACCTCTTCAATAACCAAGTTGTCCACAGGTAACTCAGCTAATTCTGCTGTTCTCCTGGCCAAAGCAAACTGTCCATCTGTCTGCAGTCTTTCCAAAATAGATCTACATTCATGCTGAAAATTTTCAATGCTGTAGCTGATAATAACTGTATGATTAATGGGTATGGATGTATCCTTCAAAATGTGGTTAAGGACACACAGCTTCTTTATATCTGGATCTGTGCCAAAGAGAAGGGGATACTGTGGTATTTCAAGAGTAATGAAACATGAAGGGAAAAAGAGATACATCTTAAACATATTAGTGTGATTAAAGAAAAACAACCACATTTTTCTATTCTGATGGGCTAACAGAAGACATAGATCAAAGATGCCACAATCTGGCTCTGCAAATCCTTACTGACAAGTCTAGCTGAACTTGACTTTCCCTAAAGTAAGAACTGTTAAAACAACACATGGATTCAATCTATACATCTGACTTTAGATACAAGGCACAGGTTGGTGTCCTAAATTGTAGTAAGTGGCAAGGCAGTAACCAGATAATTTTAGCTACTCACTAAGGCTGTCCCATCTCTTTCTGGATTTTTCTTTATCTTGATGAAATCTGTGTGAATGACTATTCATTTTCTCATTCGAAGTTGGCATCATGTGGACTGAGACAAAGAACATGTAGGAGAGCTGGAACTGCAGCTGGTCATTAGCCCAGGCTTTAATGTGATACACAATATTCAGAATGGAGCACCATTTGCTCATTTGCTTGCTACTGACTTAGAACAAGGAAACTCCTATGTCTTCTTCCTGAAAATCAGTATCTTAAAAATATTAAGAATTCTCTGTCAGAAAAAGATGAAGATGTAGCTCAATAGAATAGCACTTGTCTAGCATGCATGAGTCACTGGGTTTGATGTCAGTATTACAAAAAAAAAATTTTTTTTTTTAAATAAACAAAATGTATTGGAGCCAGACATGGTGGTACATTCCTGTAATCCCAACAGCTAAGACAGAAGGATCACTGTGAATTCAATGCTAGGCTAAGGCTACACACAGTGAGCTCAAGACACTAATTCAAAACAAGTACTATTCTGGAGATGTAGCTCAGTAGTACAGCACTTGTCTCATGTGTGTGAAGACCTTATTTAAATCCCTAGTACTAAAAAAAAATCTATTAGAAACTGGGTACAGTGGTGTACCTGCATAATCCCAGCATTTGGGAAGGCTGAGGCAAGAGGACTGCAAGTTTGAGTCATGTCTCAGGAACTCAGAAAAATCCTGCCTCAAAAATAAAAAAGGGGGGTAATTTGAGCAACTACTTTGAAGATAACATTATGCAATATAATAACTATTGTTAATTTCCTATAATCTTGTTTTGAAATTCTGTGTATTTTTTACTGATTTTTTAATTCTCTTAAATAAAAGGGGGATTGGGATGCAGCTCAGTAGCTCCTGGGCTAGTGATACTTTAGTATAAAGGAATATTATCATCATTAAAAAACCCTGAAAGTATTAAACAAGTATAAAAGAATAAAATTTTTTTAATTAAATAAGCATCAAACTTAAGAGATTGTCAACATCTGGAAGACTACAGAGAAAAAAGCATAATTTGTCTTTTTTTTACAATGTAAAATATAAATTTATATTTATGTATGTGCACACATGTACAAATTTATAGAAGATCAATATTTGGGATGTTAAGAATACAGCATTCCTTTCAACTTCTAATATCATCTCAGGGCAAGTTTCTGTACAAAATATCTTTGCCTTTGGACAGAGGTGACAAAAGAAGGAATAGTATTTCTCATCCCTAGTTAGTTACTGCATGTGACACTCTACCAGAGTGGAGGCAGGAAACCAGTCTGGGCCAAGGAAGAAGTAGCAGGTGAGGATTAAAAGCGTAGAGCTAACATCCCTGGACGCGTCCCTCTCATCCTCAAGTGCTCCACTAGCAAGGCAGGCAGGCGCCCAAACTCAATTCTTTCATCACCTTATACAGCGCACCACCTCACATCTACTGTTTTTAACCTCATATGAGGAAAAAGAAGACATCTGTGATGGTGAGAAAAAGGAGGCTTCAGAATCAGAAATTTAGATGAAGTAAAAGATACTCGTTCCTAGAAACCGTAATTGAATATGAAATAAATGAAAACACAAAATTTGTTCACATTGTGATTAATGTCAGTAGTAAAAAACTGAACTTGAGTCATAGGTCATCAAGCTTTTTCAGGCTAAACTTTTCGTTAAAACATATAAGCACTCATTTCTATGAAAAGGATATACATTTTCAAATAACTAATAACATGACTTAAATGTTAATTATTTAATGAATTATAATTTTAGTAAATTTGAACCCAAGTATTAAATCAGTCACACAGTGTCTTGTTACGTTCCTTTTTAATCTTTAGAACTGTCCTGCATGAGCTGCAATCAGTATGCAGTGATGGAGTCAACAGCGGCATGTAAAATATAACTGAATATACATGTAATGCATAGGCATACACAGGTGCACGCACACCCAATCTACAGTGAGAATTAGATTTAGGTATTCACTCTCGAGAACCTCCATAGGAATACAGTTTCTCTGGTGCTATTTCTAAATTCCTACAATGGCAGTTTTTCTATGGACTATTTTTCGGTTTTGGATTTAAAGTACAAAAAGATGTCTTTTTCCTGCTGGTGTTCATCACCCTTAGTTTTTATGTATGAAACTACTAGAGTTGGCCAAATGAATCTTATTTGGAGCCAGTAAGAGTTAGCAGTGGGCAGGGGCCAGAGAGCTTTCAGCAGAGAAGAATAAGGTCAACAGGTCCTAGGACCCTGCTTCCCCTTCCACAGCTGGGGTTCCATGTGAGGCTGGTGTCCTAAAGCCATGCCCACCATAATTTGTCTTTGAACATTCCAAAAAAAAGTACGCATTTGTGACTCGGTTTGCAACCCTGGGCAACAATGACTGAATTCTTTTTTTTTTTTTTCCTGTGCCAGGGATCAAACTCAGGACCTTACGCTTGCCAGGCAAGCACTTATTCCACTGAGCTATCTTCCCAGCCCCTGGGCAACAATGACTTGCTAGGGTTCTCACAGACAGAAAAATGCCAGTGACACATTAATTCAGGAACTTGGGTGAGGGAGAAGCAGAACTATTTGACACCTGCTTAGAATAAGACTGGATATATTTTTTATAACAGGTGCTGTTGTACCATGTTTTGAATGTTTCAACTCAAATTTGAAGTTATCTGTAACTCTTCACTAGATTGCAAATGTAATGTTACCCATCATATGCATTCTTATTTCCTGACTGCCCTCCTAAAATATATATAATTTTATATATTTTTTTTTATTTTAGGGAA